TCCAATGGCACTATCAAAAGTTTGTGCTACCTCTTTACTTAGGATTTTCAAGTAAGTTTCTGTCTTTTTAGTTTCATAGCTTTCTACACCTGGTGGTCTTATTATGGGTTTGCCTGAAGCCTTATATGATACCAGTTTTATATTCCTTTATGTACATGTACTGTGTAATGTTACACTTTACATAGATGCCCCAAGCTCCCAATGTCAGGTGGGACCCAACTTGGTGTACCTAAGATTACAGATGCCCAAAACTCAACCAATTGGCAAGAGACAGTTACTGTAACACAGGTATAATTTCCAAAATTCGTTGTCTGTGGGAATTGAACCTTAGATCTGCTACTTAAGAGTTAACAACCTATCCACTTCACTAGGTCATTACACCCCTTATAAATTTATTAGATAATAAATAAATATAAGATTAAATTATTAATTTAAAAATCTTATAATAAAAATAAAAAATATATATACCAGATATAACTCTTTTGCAACTAAGTGATATTTACTACTTTATTAATTATGAATTTATAAGATTCATTACTTTTCTGTAAATCTTTGAATTTATTAATAGAAATGTGAGATGTTTTGATTGTGAATTGCAATAAATATAGTTTTTTTTTGCTATTCTATGACTGTATATACTAAAAAATAAATAGTTTGTAACAAAGCCTAAATTTGCAAGATGATGAAATAATATAAGTAATACAAACTACTATATAATCTTATTTAATTCTGTATTTTCTTGATAATTAATATATTTTTTTCAATCATCAACATTAATTTTAACAATATCTTCAATAAGTAACTAGAATAATAATATATAATATAATTTAATTAAGGTGTTTTTATAACTAATTTTTTGTTATATAATAATTTTATTACTAATTAGCACAAGATGCATATCAAATAAACCTATTAACAAACTATTCTATAAGCAAAATAATGATAATAAAATCTTGACTTTAATTTCTAATTTATATATCAAATACTAAAATTAACTTTTATAATATATATTAACTAAATTCTTTTATAAATGCTTTAAATTGATTAATATGTTTAGAAATATACTAATAATTAATGAGCTTAAAAGAAATTTAATTCCAAATTTATAATAAGAGAAATATATAATTAAAAAAATTATAAATTTATATATACTTTATATATTCTTTTTTACTTTCTTTTATTACTAAAATATTGCAACCTTTCAGTTTCAGTAATAATATTTTCTCTTTGTAAAACAAAAAATAAGTTAGTATTAAAACAGTTATGCATACTTTTTATAAATCAAATTTACATACAAAGTCAGTTTAAACATCTATAGAAATTTGCATCTATATTATTCTTTACAATTATTTATAAAATAATTAATGAAAAATGCATCTAAAAATTAATAATAGAAAATAGCAAGCACTACCACTTATTTAATAAATTAAAATAATTAAAATGTTAAAGATCAATATCCAAATAAAGATTAATTTGAAAAATATAAAATAGATTAAATATTTTATAAGAAAACAAAAAGAAAAATTATCTAAAATATTTGTAAAATAAATTATTTAACTTGTACTATGTTTATAAGAATATTTAAAAATTCAATTAAAAACTAATTTAAATATTTTAATAATAATCTAGTTAAACTATTATAAAACAATTCATTTTTAAATTTAATTATTAATCATTTTTTAAGATTTTGTAGTTGTTATATAATTTCTGAAATATCTTTAAAAATAATTTCATATTAGACTTTAATGTAATATTGATTAGATATAAGTTAAAGAGCAAGTTAAGATCTAAAGTATTTTTTTATAAAAATCTCTAAATTTTTTTTTATATTGTTATCAAATTTATTTTATTTTTATTTTTATTTTTTTTTAAATATTAAGATAAGTATTTGTGATCCAGGATTTTATTGATAGTATATTTGATTAATGGTTGTATTATAACTACAGAAAAGAATTATAAAAAGAATATACAACTAACTATTTATATAACTTTAGTTATTGTCTAATTTAAGTAGTCCACCTGAAGGTTCTATACTAGCTGTTATACTTAAAACCTACTTGTAGGTTCCCTATTTAATCATTTTAGTTTCTGTATCCACCTATTTACTTTTGTCTATCAACAAGCCCAGCTGATACTAATAAAAATATACCATAGCTACTAAGTCTTTAAAGTAGTTCATTTATATAAAAAACTTTTGACTTTGTACTAAATCTTTCAGAATTTTCTGTATCTTATTTTTACAACTAATCTGAAATTTCTATAACCAAGATTAATACTAGTAGTCAGGACATATTATTAAACTGGTAGAGTTCACTTCAACTCTAGTATTGACTTTACAACATATCTATACTACTTTGGTATTCAATTCAAGTCTTACCAAGTTGCTATTCCAGATAACTCAGAAAGGTAGGTCATAATTATATCTTTGATTTATATGTTTTTGACATATACTCTTTTTTTCTAAAATCCAGAAATTCTAATGACCTGGTTAATTAATCTGATTCCTTCTTAAAGACCAACACATTTGTCCAATTTCATAAATTTTAATTCTATTTTATAGATCTAGTTTTTACAATAACATCATCAAAGATTTGGGTTATTTCTCTACTCAGGTCTTTCAAGTGGGCTTCTATTTTCCTATCTGGTTTCTGTAATTTATATGACCTAAGGACTTATCTTAGATTCACACACCTGGTACTAATTTGTGTTCCTTTATATAATATTGTACAAATGTCTAGACCTTCTAGTTATGCTGATATAATATGAATTACAGGTATCTAATTTCAATCAATTACAGAAAACAGTTAATTATAATACAAAAAGAATTGCAAATTTTCACCATCACTAGGATTTGAACTCTAAACCTGCCACTTGAAGATTAACAACCTATCCACTTCACTAAATTACCACATCTCTTGTTACCAAATTTATTTCTAATTTTGCAAATAAAATAACATAAAAATAATAATTGTTGTGATACTTTTCTATTATATTTTTGTTTTTTGTTACTGGATTAATTAACAGATATAATTTATTAAAAAAAACCTTAGCTGTTTATTTTCTGATTATATAAGTATATAAAAATTTTCAAATTTTCAAATTTTGATAATGATTTACATTTTTTTTATAAAGAACATTTGCAATTATCTTCATAATCTGTAAAAATAACAAAAAAATAAGTTTATTAATAGTTTCTAACTCAACAAACTTAATATAAAAACATGAATCTAATGCATACTACTGAAATTCAAAAACTATATTAACAATAGTTTCTAACTCAACAAACTTAATATAAAAACATAAATCTAATGCATACTACTGAAATTCAAAAACTATATTAACAATAATTGCATTGTAACAGATAAAGCATATAATGTTGTTTTCTTTAATGTAATCAAGAAACATCTTATTATTTGCTTCTTGAGACAAAACAAATTCATAACACTTCACAAAATGCTAGATTTTCCCTTGCAAATTTTGCTAGCACATGGTCCTTCAAGTTTCTTTTTTATAAAAAGTTACTATTAAACTAACACTACTTAAATTAGAAATTATTAGAGATTATTTTTGAAGGTAGTCTTTTAACACTCTAAAGAAATGATATACGTAAGAATTTTCATTTTTTTAGTGTGTAACACTGGAGTTCCTGAAAAGTACTCTAAAGCATATAAATAAGTTAGCCATGTAATTGATGTACATCAGCCAATCAAACGAATTTCTGCCTATGAGCAATCAGGTATTGTGGTAAAATTAATTCTACCACATGGTAGAATGCCGTAATTCAATAATTCTATCACCAACTATCATTATAGGTCGTAGATTATTCCGATATGTCAAAATCTCCATTAATAACTAGATTAACAGGAAATATGCCTAATTCACCATTATCACGTTCTCGCCACGGAGTATTTATTATCGAGAGAATTTCAGGATACAAAGAACAACAGAAATAAAATCCACTATAGAATTATAAATAGATAAAACGATATAAAAAGATATAATTAACAAACCTTTATAAAATATAGTTCTCATTTAAAAAACATTTCTTGCGTTTTTCTTTAATGTTTCCATTTCTTCAGGATGACTGCGTAAAGAACCTCTCCAAATTTCACCATTCAGCAATGCCAAAGTTAAACTTTTTCTTGAGTAAGTGGCTAATCGTCTGGTGATTGAAGAATCGATTTTTTTAGCCAAAGAGCCACGATTCCAAGCAGGATATTTTTCATCAGAATAAGCTTGTACTAGATCCGAAATATCAGTCTCATTATATATTTATTCAACTGGAGGAGGTAAATATTGCCTGATTTAAGACGTATATATAAATGAGAATTTTTTTTGAAATAAAATAAAATAAAATAAACAAATAGAAATAGAAAAAAAAATAGAAATAAAAATAAGAATTATCAAAATTTATAAAAGAATTTAAATACTATTATTACCTGTTTCTCCTGAAGGAAATCGCCTACTCTCTTCTTCAGCTCTAGCATTAATATTTTATTGAACTATACAACGATTTGGAATTTTAATTTGGTTTACCAACCTTAACAATTTTCCGAAATATTACTTTTAGCTGTATCTTTAGGAGTAGCGTTGTTTTATCGGAATCAGCACCATAATCAGACGAATATCTATGACTCTAAAGTATATAAATGAGTTACACGGGCAATTGATTTACCATATAGCGCTGGGGGTCTTATTCAAATCTTGACTTTTAAAATTGATTAGTACCGTGTACTATTCATGGATCTAGTGATTTCATCGGTGGAGAGGAAGGGTACTTGATACTATTTTCGGGGATACATTAGCCAATCAAACGAATGTCTTCATGAGGTTTAACTTAGGTTTGATTAACCAATAAAATTTTGATGATATCACAGGATGATCTACAAAATTTGGAATAGTATTGTTTACTTGGTTATGTAGTACTTGATGTTCGCGTGTTAACAAATTCTAAATTGTGGTTGGCCAGATCAGGTGTAACGTAAAAAACAACCAAAACAAAATTGTTTTTTTTTTTTTTAGAAAATAGACTCATCAGGTTCTTTTTGTTGAGTATGCTTGGTCAAGCAATATTTGATTTCAAGACGACATTAAGTTAACTTGAAGGTTCAGATTTCTTTTTGTTGGATGGCCAAACGTATATGGAAAACGGACTATGAAGCAAGTTTCAAACAGTAATTTTTCTAGTCCATTCCTCATATACTGTATATATATGTACATGGCAATGAATAATTTTTTTTAGTTGAATTAATAAAATTTTTTAACTAATTTTTTACTAAATAATAAATATTAAGAACTATGATCATATTATTGAACTAGACCGCAAAGTTCAAGAACTTGAAAATGAAATTCTCGAAGTGTTCAAGGTTTATGCAACGGGCTTCTATAAACTTAACATGGTAATCAAATATACAAACTATATACGTAGTGCTAACGGCAAACCTGCACCTCCAGGTCTCTAAGAAATGCCCCAAATGGACGATAATTAAGCCTTATTTCCTCTTTTAACTAACTCTTTACCCTTCTTTCTTTTTACAATCTCCAGTTTCCCATCAAAATTTGGTATCCAAATTGCTTTCAACGAAGTTTTCAGCTGCGAAAAGTTATGTGGACACATGATTAAGCTTGAGCACGGTCACAAACTTTTCATAACAAAGCAAAATTAACTTATTGACCTATTTTAGTCTTCATTTTCGTCAATTGGGTCAATGTTGATCGCTTTACCATTTCGAATCCACCAACGGTAATTGTTCTGGAGCTTAGCGATTACGGCAGTGACCTCATGCAGTTTCGATTCGGGAGCTTATAAAGCACCATGTTAAATATGGCATGATTAATCTGGTATATTATAAGTAGTGACGGGCCACGCTCGGATTTTTTTAATATAAGATTATTTGACCTGCATTAACATTCATGAGCCAACTTCTAATTAGTAATTGATATACATAAAATTAATGCACATGCATTTCTACGTAGAACTTTTTATTTGTTTATAAACAAGAGCGTGCTAAATGTATGATTATTCAAAATATATTATTTTAACAAGAAATTATATTTCTAGTGATAATCTTTATATATATTTTTATAATTCATGAAAAATTAAAAAAAAATTTACTATATTTCGCGGAATTCTTACGCGAAATTTTTAAAAAACTACAATTTGCCCATTACTAATTATAAGCAGCGTTTTTTTGTTGCTCAAATATAATAAGTACCAATTTAATAAAGTTTATTTTTATTATAACAGACTAGTATAAATTTAATTGTAAAAACTGTTGTTTTATCTATCTATTTATATTAATTGTTTGAAATTTGAAAATAAATGAATATTATTAATTTATAGTATAGTAGTTTGATGAAAATTAGTTTTGATTAGATAATTATTTTATATTGTTACATGTATAGATCAGATGTATGGTTGCGTCTAAGTGACGTGTCTTCACATCAAAAGTGCCGTGATGACGTAGGTCATAATAATTGACCTTTGCCGTAATCTAGTTACGGCAATAAAAAATAGTTGCGTCTAACAAGTTATTTACTACCATTTTTATAATTCCTGAAACGCATAAAAATTAACTGAATGATTTTCTGTCGATTCGATTAAGTGTGATTTTGACATAATCAGATTTAGAGTGTAATACAAACAATCTTATTAAAATTTGGATTAAAGTGCATGTCCAAGTTTGATGTATTAGTTTGTACGAAAACTCATGAGAAAACATCACTTGTCAACCAAATATAAATTAGACATTTATACGTGTTACTCTATTGACAATCTTCAAAAATAATGTTGATAGAAATATACAGATATCAATCTAACCAGAGGCATTTTCATGTTAAACATACGGGTTCAAAAATTTAAAAACTGATATAACCAGATGATATTATATACAGATGCCGATACGACTAGTATTAGTATATCCAATTGAAGCCCTTCAAATTATCATAATAATAATTTTACATTCTAACCAAAGTCCTGTATCTAATTGTAACTCATACAAATGCCAGTCTGATTATTTTTTCACTAAAGCATCATTCAGATTTAGTAAACACTGTTATTCTAAAATAACAGAATTTTTTTCAATATATTACATCTTTGAAAAAGCTTAAGACACCTACTTACTTTGTGCTTGGCGATTTTTTAAATTGTTAAATTTCTTTTAATTATTTGCCAGCGAAGTTGCTTTTAAGGATAATATTTCTGTATTAAACACAGAGATATACATACGTACTAGTCCTATGCCAAAATCGCTAACTTAATCAAATCAGTCGAAAAATCGCTCTGCAAATTTTTACCGAATGTTATAGTAATCGACTATAATGGCATGAGCCAAATGTTACGGCACATGTCAAGTGTTATGGTACACGTCAGGCGTTATGGCAAACGTTATTTGACGTATCATCACGTTTTTGAGTTATGTCCAATTGACGTTAAGGACAGTACGACACTAACATATATATTATCTTACAATTACAATAAAAAAATTTAACTTAAAGAAGCAATATCGAAATTCATTAAAAGCGAATCTGACAATGCTGGTGTGTAATACTATAGTAATATTATGTATTCTTTAACTTTTAAAGAACAATGGTTAATACTGTAATAAAATTAATAGTTTCTTTTGAATAAATGTTTCGAATTTCATGTGAGCAAGGTAAAATAATTAAAAAAATCAATTGTTTTACGAAATACCATAAAAGTGTCAGAGACACTAATCTTTGGAATAACCAATATTAATCCTTTTAATTTTGGCTAAAGTGTGTTTATCATATTAATTACATATCGATATACTAATATCAGCTTAAGCACCAATTGTGGAACACTGTTTTTATAACCTTCAAATTTCCAAAATCAACTGGACTTTTTTTCCGCACACTAGCCAACAGTATATAAAATTTAGATGCCCCATATTGAAAATTTTATAGTCGAAAAATGAAAATAATTACAAACACGAGCCCAAATTAAAACCAATTACACATAAGACCTAATGTTTAAAAAATATTACACATAAGACCTAATGTTTAAAAAATATTACATATAAGGGCCCAAGCCTATTGATGGCTGACAAAAAACGTGGTCACGGAATTACTGTCACGAAGTACTATGAATGACCATTTGACTTATCATGATAGCAAAATCGTGATTATAGAATTATTGATAGTTTTATTATAGGCATTTAGAGTTATCTATATACTGATTATTAGATAAAAGAATTAATAAGTGTTGGCTATAATCATTTTTTTACTTAAATATTGTATAAAAAAATAATGTTAAACCAGAACAATTATTTACAAGATGAAGTTTTTAACAGAGTAAACAATTCAATAATCTTAATAAAATATTAGCATGACCACTTAAAAGGAGAAAAAAAAATTTTTTAAGTATATTTATAAATAAGGCCACACAAATTTAATACCCGGCCGGCCGGCCGGCTTTTTTTTAAAAAAATTTCATATATAAATTTTATAAAATTTTTGTAAAAATTTTTTTTTAAAACCTCATCCGATTATTAAAACATATTAAAAAAATTTTTTTCCAAGTTTTTAAAATTTGACCCGGCCAGGTTATAAAAACCAATTAATTAATTTTGTATGGCCTAATTAAGATTTAGGTTAGGATTAAAATATAAATTGACTTAGGGTGCTCTCAAGCATCTCCTTCAATGTGATCAACTAGTAAACGAGATTGTGCACAAGCATAATTAATTGAGCTCATTCTTACTGTAATCCTGATATTGCGAAATGTGGATCTTAAATTTTAGCCAATCAACACACCTCTACCATAAAAAAAAAGGTGGTCTAGACCATCTTTTTTTCCATTTCGATAACAAGCTTACTTAACCGTTCAATTATGTTCCGCTAATTAAAGATTGAGCACCGATCTATTAATTTAGGTGCTTGAGAGCACCTTTAAATTAGAAAAGTTATATATAATCTTGTAATAATTTATATATGTTGTTTATGCCTCAGATTTATTGCAGATCATTTAACGCTGGTCATCTGGTAGTGCGTTAGCTGCAATCTGACGCAAGGATTCATCTGATGCACAACATATATACTCATCTATACTAAAGTAAATCCAATAATTTTTTGAAAGCAGATGAAAAAGATGTAAAATAATTACTATTTGAAAAAAATAAAAATGAATATGCTTCTAAAAAAAAGGAAAGAAAAAATATTAATACAAATATCTACTAACAAATAAATAAAAGCAATAGAAAACATAAATATAAATAACCAAAACTAAACAAAAAAAAAAAATTAGTAATAGAATATAAAATGCATAGTTAAGTTTGATTAAAGACTTTATAAATAAAAAATATAAAATCATTTTTTTATGACCTGATTAACTAACTTGATATAACCCTTATATCTGAATAACTTTTCAACCAGATCATTTCTAAAGGCTCATGAAGTAACTGAAAAATGTCAAAACAAAATTTAAGTCAGTTTTATAAAAACTTTTGTATAAATTTCTTAATAAAGGTGATTAACAAGATTGCCAAAGTTAAAAAAAAAAAACGGTAAATATATGTAATTTATTACTACTTTGTAAAAAGTTAATCCGTATTAAAATATACTTATTTAAGTAAATTTATTTTGATAATGCCGAAGGAAAACTAAACTTTGATCATATAAATTTTATATGATCAAAGTCTTGGCATTATACACTTTGTAAATCTTTATAATTTTAAAATATATATTAATTAATACGTATTAAGTGTAAAAAAATTATTTAAACCAGATTATATTATTTAAAAAATTTCTAATTTGTTTAAATAAACTAAAAGATAACCAAGTAATCTATATATATGTTGTGCCTCAGACTAACGCTTGCCTAGAATGTCGATTTTTTGGTCAGCATTAAAGTTAGGCCGATCGACATCTGAGGCAAGCATTATTCTAAGTCTGAGGCACAACATATGTAATAAACCAGCCAAATTTTTATAAAAATATTGTGTAGTTATCGATTAATATTTTATCAATACTTAAATTGAAACAATATCGGTATACATTATTCTTTTTTAAAGTGAGTCAAAAAAGTAGATCATGCGGGGTTAAGAATAATGTTTTTGCGTTTGGTAAAGCAAATAAAATAAAAAAAATACAAATATAAAATAATTAGTTATACACACATGTACCGATAGTTTGCTATTATACGCCTAGGTTAATGTAAGAAACGGCTTTAAATACATGACGAAAAATTTTTTGTATTTGTTATACATATAAAATTAGTTCTATCGGTCCGATATGATCGGAGATTACATTTTAAGATATTTGATCAACGTTAATATAAACCCGTAACCAATCATAATTAATCATTAAATGTATTCCTGATTTTCACTCTCACGCACTCATATAATCAGCAGACCCGAATTGAGATCCAACGGTTATAGCAAAAGTAGTTAAAATACATAATGGAATCATTGATCAATTAATCAACAAACACTAATTTTATGATGTGGATATTCTTAAAGATAAATAGTTGACACTCAAAATATAGTTTTTTTGGTCATTCCAATTTTTTAAATGATAAATAATGTAAAAGATCAGTGTCTTAGTTATACGTATAGTTTTCATAATATAAGTATTATCGTAAAACTAAATAAATGTGAGCGATCTTACCAAATTAAAATAATATAATCTAATAAATTTTTTAATACAAAGGGGGTTTTTTTTTTTTTTGCTATGTAAGTTATATTTTTTTTGATCAGCCTTTTCATTGAACTTTTAAGGAAATACATATTTAATTGATTTTTTGGAATTTAGAAAATCTTTAGGTTTACGATTAGAATTATCCTGAATAAACTCCTCATAATCCTGGGTCAATCATATGTCCTTCAAAAAGTTGCCCGAATTTAGTTAACAAGTAAAAATCATATTTAATAAAATGCTGTAATAATTTTCTTTTGATTTTTTTTTTTTCTCCCGCAAATGTACATAAATTTAATTCCTATACGGAATGGAAGATTCGGTCAATACAATATGCGAGTTGCGTAAACTTTTTTTTTTTTACTCAAGTATTTGAATTTATCAATAACTTTAAGAAATAACACGAATTTTATTTTGTAGATGGTCATATTCCATTCAAAATTGCGAGAGTACTTATCTAGGTATAATGATCTGCGGGACAGTTGTAAATGGAATTTTAGGCTTGACTTTATTTTCATTATTATGTTGGAGGTATGCAATTAAGTTAACAAAAAAAAAATGGGGTAAAAATTTATTTACACCGAAGGATAAAATGATGACTTTGGCGATAATATTTTTTATAAGTAAGTAAAAAAAAAAAGGTAACCGAATTGAATTTATATAAACTTATTTATCATTATCAATGATATCGAATTCATTTCACGTTTTAGTGCGAGCTTTAAGTTGTTTAGTGTTGATATTTGACGCATTTTCAAGTTCACCTCTTTTTCGTGAGTCAATATATGCATTTTCATGGATACCTGGATTCATCTCTTTACATTGGTATCTACATGGCATCATTGTCATTATCCCAAAGATACGTTTTGATTGTCAGCCCGTAAACTCTTCAGGTTTTAGAAAGATGATTATTCCGCAAGAAGAACAAGTTAGAATATTAACATGGATAACCATACTTCTCACCATATTATGCATATCAATTCCGTCGATATTTGCAGCACATTTTCGTGAAAATTATAATTCATTGAATGATCTGAAAGAAGCCAGAAGAACGCAAATTATATTTCTTTGGTTATCTTGTTTGCTTGTTTTGGTTTTAATTGTATATTATGGTAGAGCCGTAGTAACTTTAACGAAAGAGAGTCTAAGAATAACTCTTGTTGAAGATGATCAATGGATGAAACAAGTAAAAGAAAAATTACGTAACAAAAGAAAGTTACAAGCAAATATCAAGAAGGCTTGTTTTTAATAATTATATTCATTTGTTTTGATTCTTCCAAAATTTTATTTTAAAATTTTGAAATTATAGATGGAGGCTTACAATTGGGTGTGTGGAATTGTTTTTTTTTTCTGGTCGATTGCACTTATTCCTCCAATTATAAATTACGACATAATGGAGCAAAAGGTTGCCTCAACGATTTACTCTTTCTTCTCCAATGATGCGACACCCGTATTTTTTGGATTTTTGATATATACAATTATTAAGTATGTATAGTATATAACATTTTTAACATAATTGAGTGTCGCCAAGTTAAAACCTGAAAGAATCTAAGTTTTCATATCAATTAATTGAAACATGTTACGACAAGTGTTTTAATCATTTCGATAGTATTTGTCTTATGATTAGTATACAGATTCAGACAATGTACGTACGTGCGTATATAATATATGTACGCACGAAATTTGGTCGTGCGGTCTTTAGTCCAGGAGATTGCGATGCTCACTATGAAAATATTTTTTACTATTGTCTTAGTAAGATAAACGTGATTTTAATCATTTTTTAAAATCAAATACAATATGTACAAGAAAATATTTTGAGTGAGCAGATTTATGCACCGCGGTCCCTGGATATTCTAGTCGTGCAGTTAGCAAAAATTATAAATTTTACTTTTTATAAACAACCCTTTTTAATTGTTGGGTTAAGATAAAGATATGTTAAAGATAGGTTATAGGAAAAATAACATTAATTTGGAGAATTTTTGTTACAAAGCGTATATTCTATCATATATGTAATAGTTATATCCTGGATAGTTGGGTATACCCTGCGATCCAGGGTATAATCTATTATATACTCTATCATATATATATATATATATGTACGTACGTATGTATGTATGTATATACTGCTTTACTATCAGCTACATACTCGATCATACAGCACTCAAAAGTAAGTTCAGTAGTATAAATGTTAAATTTGCACCTAAAGGTTTAATTCGGCGACACAGATTTATTATTACATTCATATAATAACCACCACCACAAAATATAATTAAATTTATTCCTTTTCTTAATATCGTAGAGAAACTTCAATAAACACCCCAAGTATGTAAATGACATGATAATTAACAATGGATTCATAGACTTTATAAACTTAATTACTTACTGTAATTATTTGATTTGAATTTATCAGCTAGCGAGTCCTACGATGAACACATTAGCACATGGTTTCAAAGCGGAAACGAAAATACAGTGCTAATACAATTAAGTCCTAATAATTTAAAACATGACAGCATAAATACAAGTGAACTTTGTTATAGCACAAATATTCATGTGACAAATAGTTTACGTTCGCAGTCAGGAACTGAGGAATATCAAGACACTAATACGAGTAATACTATAACTGATTCTAATCAAAACAATTTAGCGGAAACTGATGAACACCAAGATACCAATACCAGTGACAATATAATTGACTCTAATCAAGATAATTTAGAAGGAACTGATAAACAACAAGACACTAATACCAGTGATAATATAATTGACTCTAATCAAGATAATTTAGAAGGAATGGATAAACAACAAGACATTAATACCAGTGATAATACAATTGATTCTAATCAAGATAATTTAGAAGGAATTAATAAACAACAAGACACTAATACCAGTGATAATATAATTGATTCTATTCAAGATAATTTAGAAGAAACTGATAAACAACAAGATAATTTAAAAGAAACTGATAAACAACAAGACAATAATACTAATCAAGATAATTTAAAAGAAACTTATGAACACAAAGACACTAATACTACGTAGTAATAATGTAATTAATTTTAATCAAGATAATTTAGTAAGAACTGATGAACATCATAATTGATAATACGTATAATTGATTATAATCAAAATAACTTAGTTACGAATAAATGACCATCCGAAACAGGAGAGATTTAAATATTTCTAATATAACGATTCGAAATATAAATTGAAAACAACGATAATAAATTGAAAAAAACCCGTTAAATAAATGTTAATAAATTGAAAAAAAAACGACAATAACGATAATAAATATTACATTTTAGGTAAAAGAATCGATCATTTCTAAATCTAGATCGATACGTACATCGATAGATAACAAACGATAAAACGCGTTAAGAAAATAAACCCGAAATATATGATAATATGTATACGATTTTTTTTTTTTAAGATAATGAACCTAGGATATATATAATAATATATAATACTTTTCGTTAAGAAAATGAATCCACAAATATAAGTGTTTATCTAACTTAATTTATAAAAGAGCCTATAGTTTAAAGGGAGATTTTTTTTTAAAAAAAAAAAATTATATGGAAATTAAAATTAAAATGTAGTAAATTAAAGACTTAAGTCTTAATAATCCAACAATTTGTTTGAAAATATCTTATATAGTAATAAGCCTTAGTGGGGAAATATGGTTATTACCGGTGAATTAACATTGAACATATCAAATTGTGATACCAAAGGACACATCACATCATTTGAGTCATTTAAATTCATGATATCCATTATTTTATTAGGAATAGCGTTCATCTCTGGTCCAGGATTTTCGAAAACAAAAGTCAACGTATTGCGATGCATATTGTCTTGTGTACGCCCCGGGTTGACATTTTTATATCGCCAGTGCGTTCTTCTATGTTTTTCACGTACTTGAGCTGAAAAATTTTTATACCACTCTTTAACTTCAGGAGGTTCATTTCCCCACGACTTGCTTGATAATTTGGAGACATCAGATAAAGGTAGTTTTATTCCTTTAGATTTCAATGTTCTGGTATAAACTTTTCGATAAATCATGTACGAGTTCAAAGGCTGTTTATATTCGATTCTGTTCACTAAAAATTCTTTTACGCTTAGGTCGGGTGGGAACGATATCATAATTTCATCTGACATGGCCAGAGGTGTAAAAATAAACCAAAGAGCGTTTGCATTTTTATAGCACTAGTTCATAGTAAAAAAGCTTTATGACCCAAATGCATTTAATACGATTTGCTGCGCTGAAATAAAAATAATAATATAAGAACAACGAGAAAAAAGAAATTACAGAATTAGGAGAACAAAGAATAAACATATCATCTGTTAAAAAAGGAAACTTTAATAGCAAGTAATCGTAAGATTGGTCCGAATATAAAGCATAAAACAACATCTCTACTTTAGATCGTAAAATTTAACATACAAAAAAAATGAATAAATAAATAAGTAAATAAATTTATTTTCTTTTTGCATATTTTGAAAATATTCTGAAAAATTGTTATTTTTGATAATATACGATCATTTATTAGATATATCCCTATTTTAAAATTGTACTGTTAGCCCCCATTATAATGGTCACTTTTTTAAATTATTTTACGTGATTGTAGGAATTCTAAGTCCGTTGTCTACCAAATTTGAACTTTTTTCCGTCTTATCCGACTTATTTAGATGCTGAAAATAAATAAATTTTTAAAAAATTCTTAGAAATGGTTATGTGTATGATAAAAACTGAAAAGAACACGAAAATCTTTAATCATGCAATTTTACGTAAGTTTCTGCACGTGGTACTCTTGTATATCAAGATGTGTTGATCATTATTTATAAACGTGGATAATTTGACCAAATATAATTTGTGTTTATAAATAAAAGTAGTATCCCTGTACATTCATGTCTGCCTCGTAAATAAATAAAATATTTAAACATTAACATTAGTACATCAACTATTAATTTGAGATAAATGCTATACGTATAACTTTCATCCTCTCGATATTAATTTTAATGTAACTAGATTAATTTTAGATTCATATATGCTAGCACTAATATACAGTAACTTGTTATTATCATTAGACAAACTTCTCTGATAAACGCATAAGAGCGTCAGTATTACAAGAAAGTCATTGTCTTCATGCATATAAACAAAATAAATTGAATGTGAATTAAATAAATACACCAATTTTTTATTTAAGAATGCGTGATTTATAAAAATTACCATATTGCACGAATCGAATTTATGCATGGGTATATGTCTTTACAAAGAATCAAGAGAATCCTTGTCTAATCATAACTAAAATCCGTGTAACCGGTAATTGATATAAACTTTTAAAAAAATTACCAATATATATGCAGTATCTTTACGTAGTTGCGTCCATGCGTTGTATACTAAATATCATGCTTAGAATCGAATAAAAATACCCTATATAAATAAAGTTAGATTTAGGGTTCTCATTTAAGCTCCTTCAATGTGATCTAAAAACCAATCAGGTTAACTCGGAAAAAAAAAATTGTACTGCTTTAAAATTAATCGTTATCTGTTTTTCAGGTTTCAGTTAATTAAAATTTCCACAAATCCATTTCAAGACCCATGAGAGTGCTATGGTTATATTGTATATAGAAATATTGACTTTTTAATTGTGATTAGTATCATATAAGGTCCATTTAGAGCTCATTTTCTCATATTTTGATCCTTTTTTTTTTACCGATTGACAATAAAAACATTTTATTTACTATTAACAATCTGCACTTAGTAATATTAATATCGTAATGCATTTAAATATATTTTAATATAGTAATGAATCTAAATATGAACTTAGTAATATTTAATATCGTAATGCATTATTTATTTAAATGACTAGAATTCTGATGGTTTGAATTATTTATCTCCAACATACACGGCTTTACCTTAAGAACTTTTTCAGCACTGCTATTGTAATCACGAATTGAGTCAAACTAACAGCTTGCATTTTTTAACCATAAACGTAGAAGATAACCTGTTATTGGGTCATAAGGACATATACTCAATAACCACCGATACGATTATACGTAGTTTCGATATTTTTTATCAAATAGCGAGAAAATCTGCAAGATAAAAACTATAGAAATAAAACCTTATGATAATACACAATTTCTTCGAGCTTTTTACCTTCAAATAATAAATGTACTGGTGGAAAGACATATAAGTTGTTTAATAGTATTTTATTATTATTGTTTCTTATTTTTTATTTTTTTTTAAAAAAAAAATCCTAAACCATATAACAGCTTTATCCAGAGACGTTTAAAAGCTCGTGACAAAAAGAATTACTTTCTACCTTATTGAATATTTATTGAAAAAGTATTTCTCAGAAAACTTTGGAAGCCCCAGGTGAAGTACCCTTGCATTATTAATGAGTTGTTTTGTCTTTTTTCAATGTGAGTAAAAATAAGAATAAAAGTAAAAATAAGAATAAAAGTAAAAAGTAAGAATAAAAGTAAAAAGTAAGAATAAAATAATCAATTATGAAATATCTTGTACTTCTGAAACTATAAATTTTAATATCGGTTGTGCTTTTTACCATTTTCGAATGGTTAGTTTACAGGATTTGAAAATAGCTTGAACGTTGAAAGTAAAAATGGACGCTGCCGAGGTAACCATTGTGAAATCTAAAAGCATAGGTAACAAAATGTTGGAAATTTTATTATTATTTGTTCAAAAACTACAAGATCTAATATGCTAACGCTAATATATATGGGGTGTGTTCTGAAAAAAGGGACCAAATTGACAATTGTTTCAAATTTGTTTTTTAAGCTTAACTAATTCAAAATTAACATAAAACCATTTTTACTTAAGAAACAAGTTCTGTTATCTTAATAAAATTTTGTAGTATAATTCTTTAAATTTTATATTTTCTTATAATTTATTATAGAATTTATAATATAAAATTTGATTTTCTGCAAACTTTTTTTTTATTAATTTGATCCCTTTTCTTAGAATACACCTCATATTACATGGGAATTGTTATTTTTGGTAGAATTCACCGTTTTACTGATGATTTACCTCTAACCAACACTAACTATAAAGCAGGCCATTCCTAACCTAAATTTGCTGATGAAATAGCTGTCAGTGAAATAGTTATCAATAAAAAAATTGGTTTGTACTTTGTAAAACAAATAATACAAAACTAACAATATTAATCCATCAGATTACATAAAAATATTTAACTTATAATATATCAGTAAACAATAAATTACAGATCAGTATTCAAAAAACAACCAAAATCTGTTTCTATTCTAACCAAACTATCTTTAACTATTGAAAATTTTCAACTAGTTATAATAAAAAAACAGTTATTAATATAAATGTTTTTATTAAAAAACATCATAATATTTTTTTAGTATTAAAAACTCTTTAACAACATTTTTTATATTATACACTTTCTGAATACATATTTTATTTAATAAACTTACTTAAGAGTAAAGGTACATAAATTATTTTTATATAGTTTTATATGATATTTGGAAATTTTCATATAAAATTAAAATATATTACTTATAAAAATTTTTTAAATTATAATTAATTTTTGGGAAAATTTATTTAATGCCTAGGGCAAATTTGCCTGTATATATATATTAATCGTAATATTGCATATATTTATTGTAACATTGCATATTTAACTAAATAAATATATAATTTTATATTACATACTGGTTGGTTCATATAGAATCTATATACTATCATGTGTTAATTTTTTTTTATATAATTATTCATTAATGATACATTTAGAACTGCTTGAATGCAAAAATTTAATCATACACAGTTAACCTTGTATCTACAGCAGAGACCATTAATGTTATATATATATTAAAATTGATAAAAAATTATATTCATCATAATTGAATTTAATATAAATAATGTAATTTGTAATTAATCACAGGCAAGAAGGATTTACTTTTAATTAGACACTGTCTTTGTTATACCTTGTATTTGAAAATTTTTTACTTTAAAAACCATTAGTTTATTATAGTATTATTATATATATATATTCTTTAAAATATTAGAAAAGCATTCATTAGTTTTTGCATTACAATTGTGAAATACTTTATTAGAAGTATATATTAACAGTTAAAAGTATATAGTAATTGTAGGTTATCTTACCAAAAATAGCTATTAAATATTTTTTTTATAATATACAGTAAGTAAATTAAGTTTATAAAATTACTAACATGTAAGAAATCATAATTAATTTTTTATTTTTAAAAATAGCTTTCATTTATTTATATATTTTCATTCTATTATAGATAAGACTATAACTACTATTGATAATAATAGTAAAACTATACTTAATACAGATTTTTTAAATAAACTTTTGAATAATGAATCATACGAATCTGATATTAAGACTGTAGAAACTGACTTTGAATATAATGATGAAAGTACTACTAAAAGTAGTGACTGAAATTTAAATAAAGATATTTTATTAATAAAACCTTTACAATTACATACTGAGATAACATTTTCTTTATGGACTGTTGTTAATAGATCAATAAAAGCCTTTACATATCATAATGATTTTAGTATTCAAAAATATTGTTCTGAAAAATTAAATGGAAAATGTGTTAGGTGAACATTTTTGTGTTAACATTCCTCTGCATATAAGTCTATAAAAAACAAAAACTCAGAAAAACAAAGAAATAAAAATTCTGCTTAAGTTAATTGTTCTTAGAAAATACATATTCAATATCAAAAAAACAGTCATAACTTAAAAGTTTTCTCATTTGATAGTAATCATAAAAATCATATTTTAGATTCAGTAAATTAACAATTTGCATCTCAATATTAACAATTAACTCAGACACTTCTTAAAAACATTAAATTTTATATTCAAAAAGGTTATCTAAAAGCAACTAACCAATATCATCTACTAAAGGCTTCACATCCTTATAATACTTTATACAAAAAAGATCTTTATAATACAATACAACAATTTTATAATGAGAATGACCAAACCTTGATGATGCAACAAGATTATTCAAACATCTATTAAATTAAAGACTTAATAATAACAATTTATATATAGAATATAAGTTTAATCAAAGAACCAATGCATTAACAAACCTAGTTTAGATGATGTCACATTAACTTGTTTTTTGGGATCATTATTATAATG